TATTTAGAGCAGTACTGTGATTCATATTTCAGATAAAGTAAAAATGAAATACTGTGCTTCATATTTCAGATAAAGCGAAAATGAAATACTATTTAGTAGAGATGTCAACGTTTTGATTTTTCTAGATTTTAGCTTTCGTTACGATAGATGTTCATCAAAAGTATTAACGTTTGAAACGTTACGTTGCACATAATGAAATTTTATGGCATAGAGTAACGTTACGTAATGAATTTTCTGCACGTGAATACCTTATACAACGTTAAGCTTTAGTAAATGTTGTGAAAAAACAGTAAGCTCCGTTACGCTTTTGCATTTCCCGTTTTAAAAAACTTTCCCAACGTTGCGTTAAGGCTTATGTAATAAAACCACAATTTTTTACGTTCCACTTTCATGCAAGGTAAATATTTTCAGAGACCTTACGTTACACTTTCACTTGGTTTAAGATCTAAAAGATGACAAACGTTTTGCTTTAATAAAACGTAATTGGGGCATAGTTCTGTACGTTACAATGCATTTCAGTGCAAAGAATATTTTTTGCTAACGTTACGTTTTGTCTTAACTTTTCCAATGTAAACTCTTTTAATAACGTTTCGAAATTTTACTAAAATGCAACTTTTCTTACGTTACGATTTATCGAAACGTTGTTGTGAAAACTTTTTTGTAACACTTTTTTACAACTGAGAATCAAAACTGTGTATTCGTTTCGTTTCTAAGAAAGATTTGAAAAAATGTTCTATACGTTGCGTTGTTCAAGCCTTAATGTTTCTAAAGTTACACTTCATTAAAATAATATTGTTTCTAAATGAAAGCATTGCAAGATTTTTTCCGTGATAGTTACATTTTTTAACTGTATGTTGCTGTTGTATTGTTAACCTTTTTAGTGAATGTGTAGATGATTATGCATTTTTAACGATTTTTAAAATTTGTAAATGAAAGTTTTTAGCATTAGACTTTCAACCCAAAGTGTGTCTTTAAGGGACTAGAGACGTAATTTCAAGTGACCTTCCATTTATGGAGTGGCATGTCCAGTAGGGGTGATCGATATTGGAATAGAGCCAACCGCCCACCGGAAGTCGCTGCGTTTTCACCGTAAGGCCACAAAAAATATTTTATTTTTTATTTTCATGTTATACATCATTTTCTTGGAAATTCAATGCTAAATTCAAGTCTGAAAAGCGTTTTAAAAAATTGAAAATTGAGTGAGTCACAGCTAAAAAACTCATAAAAAACATTAAAAAGTTATAAAACCGGAATTTAGTACCGTTATTTGACCATATCTTCTTTATATTTTAATATATTTAAAAATGGTTTTCGAATCTGAATTCAGCATGAAATTTCCAAGAAAATGATGTATCTTGATTATTTTTTGAAATATTTTTTAGGCCTTACGGCGATATCTCCAATATTCAATTGTCAATTCACGCCCTATGGAAAACACTCCTAAATTTCAAATCATCAATCAGATAAAAGTTTACAGGTTATCATTGGGAATTTTTTACGCAATGCAGACCGACCCTTTTCTTCTATCTAACAGAATTCATAGTTTAAAATATCTAAGGTCTACAACATTGGGAAGCAAAGATATCGGGATTAGAAATATAAGTTTGTGATAAGTATAATAGCTTGGGAACCCAGCGCTGCCAAGGTTACTCATGTTACTCCCGCCGTTTACCCGCACTTGAACGATTTTCTCTATTACTCAACTTAGAATCTCAAAACCAAGCTAAGAACATTCCCTTGACTCACGTGAGTTCCCCAAACTAAATTTGCGGTAAAAAGTCTGTACTTTAGTATGCTAATTATAGACGAATACAGCATCAATTTAGACATCCTATTCCTCTGACGATAATCTGCCCAAAATAAGTTTTAGAACACTAATGAAAAATTGTTATTTAGATAAATGTTGCACTTTTGAGGTGTGGCTTGCCGAGTCGCCTTCCCCCCATCATTAGATGCGTAATATAACAAAGTTTTAAAAATGAATTAGCATTAGTTTTCCTGGTTTTATATTTTATTGTAGTTCACTGTTGACTGTTGAGTGTTGACAAGTATAAATCAACAAAATAATGTATTTTTCCACGTAATCAGATTCTGATTACAGTCAAGGAGGAAAAATGCAAAAAAAAATCTCTACAAATAAGAAATTGGCAGTGAAGAGTATTGTATAACAATATTTAGTAGAATGACATTTAAAACAACATTTAGCAAATTTAGTAAACATGCAATAATATTTAAACCATATCAATTCTTAATTTCGTGTTCAAACTAATTTTTTAAATCCTAGTAAAAATGAAGATTCAAAGCATAAAATGTCCTAGAACACATTTTCAATATTTCTTCCCATATATGTAAAACATAATAACAATTATTTAACGAATTGAAAATAAAAATTGTACTACAGAGGGGTGCGAAGCGTCGTCGATTTCACTACTACCCATTATATTTATTAACTTGGTTTACACATTATATATTTGCGTCCTTAATACCCATGTCCTGTTCCCCCTGTAGTCCTGTCTACTTTACCTTTATACGTTGAATTTATGCATCCTGTCTACTATACCTGCATGGTTTACACGTTGAATATATGCGTCCTGTAGATCTCCTGTCCTGTTCCCCCTGCAGTCCTGTCTACTATACCTGGTTTATACGTTGAATATATGCGTCCTGTAGATCTCCTGTCCTGTTCCCCCTGTAGTCCTGTCTACTATACCTGGTTTATACGTTGANATACTATTTAGAGAAGTACTGTGCTTCATATTTCAGATAAAGTGAAAATGAAATACTATTTAGAGAAGTACTGTGCTTCATATTTCAGATAAAGTGAAAATGAAATACTATTTATAGAAGTACTATGCTTCATATTTCAGATAAAGTAGAAACTAAAATACTATTTATAGAAGTACTATGCTCCATATTTCAGATAAAGTAGAAACTAAAATACTATTTAGAGAAATACTGTGCTTCATATTTCAGATAAAGTGAAGCTGAAATATTATTTAGAGAAGTACTGTGCTTCATATTTCAGATAAAGTGAAACTGAAATACTATTCATAAAAGTACTGTGCTTCATATTTCAGATAAAGTGAAAATGAAATACTATTTAGAAAAGTACTGTGAGTAAGACTGTCATAAATTCAAATTAAAGACACCTTATTATTCCAGCCAAGCACTACCTGTAGTATCTTCCACGTTCAATGCATGTTATGGATTCCGGAAGTAGTTTAGTTAGAACCGGAAGGAAGGAGAAAATGGCAGCTCTGGACATGAACTGTGTGATCTTGTCAATACACTCGTAAACAGTCTATACAACAATAATATTAATATTAATAACTAGACAAAAATTCAAGAAGGTTTTGTTTTTGTTTTATTGACACATTTTAGGACGGTTTAAGTACACTATCAGGGCCGTATACAGTAATTATCAATCATTTTTTACATTCCAGAGCCCGCGATCTATAGATAAGACTTAGGTTTTAATTCCTTAGACCCAGCTTCATCTTAGACCCCACTTATGAATCAGCAGAAGATATTTTGGTTAGTTACTGGAGTATTAGTCTCAATGTTTAGTCTTTTTCTAAACAAATCCTGATATCCACCAATTTTCAACATAAAAGTCCACCAAACACAATGTTAAACCGGTTTAATAAACCCAACTATGTTTAAAGTTAGTCGCAGTTCTTATCCCAAAGTCTCAATGACAGCTTAGCCTTATTTTCTTCCCCGCTTTTATAAATACCGGGCTCTGCAAATCTTAGCTTTCATTTTTCAGTGGTAAATTAAATCAAAATTAAGTACCTAATTGAAAAAAAATCAATTCGCGTTTATTCCTAATTGATGACTGCAATGGCAATTATCAGTTTAAATTATTATAGAGTCACAAAAAAGTGTATTTTTCTATAATTTACTCTCAATGATTATTGATTACAGATATAAGATGATATGAATAATTGCCTCGGTATTGGTGTTTGTTTCATTGATTGTACATTTTTTTATTTCGTGTGTAAACTCTCTATTTTGTAAACCTTTTATTCAGTTCATTATTAAATATTTAAATTATTTCTAGATTTAACCTGAAATTCTTGCTGTTGGGAGTGGAGCTTTCGGCCACATACCACATTCCACAATACATTCAGAATACTGATATTCGTCTAGAATATTATATATGTATACATACCGCATTCTACAATACATTCAGAATGCTGATATTCGTCTAGAATATTATATACGTATAAATACCACACTCCACAATACATTCAGAATACTGATATTCGTCTAGAATATTATATATGTATACATACCACATTCCACAATACATTAAGAATACTGATATTCGTCTAGAATATTAGATATGTATACATACCACACTCCACAATACATTCAGAATACTGATATTTGTCTAGAATATTATATATGTATACATACCACATTCCACAATACATTAAGAATACTGATATTCGTCAAGAATATTAGATATGTATACATACCACATTCCACAATACATTCAGAATACTTATATTCGTCTAGATACATATTAAAATATAAAATAACAATAATTATTTAAATATATATGCTAGTTTGGGAACCCAGCTCTGTCTAGAAACTACGTTTTCTTTATAAAATTCAACTATCTCAACTAAGAACTTTAAACCAAATTAAGAACCCTCCCGTGTTTCTACCGAGTTCCACAATCAAAATTTGATTCAAATCGGTCATGGGTTTCATGAATTATGATCGAAAACTTAGATTACTACTTTATATCATTTATATAACTAGCTTGCCAAGGATACTAAAGGCTACTCCCGCCGTTTACCCGCACTTGTACAATTTTATCTGGAAATCAAATTGTCGTAATTGAAGTCGATTCGCTCAATTTAGAATCTTGGAACCAAGATAAAAACATTCTCGTGGGCCTCCCGAGTTCCACAATCACGGTTGGAGGCAAATCGGTCAAGGGGTTCCTGAGTTATGATCGGACAAACAAACAGATAGACACCATGAAAAACCGAGATTACAACTTTATATATAAATAATAGATGAATACGCTCTCAACTAATTTGTTTTTTATTCTTCTTCCGTAAATCGGTGGATGTTCCACTATGGAGAATATAAACTACATTTTACTATAGTTTACTTAATAATGGTTTGTTGTACAATCATATATTTCTATATATAATATATTTAAAGTTCATATGCTGTATAATAACGTGTAAATTATATAGAATAAATAATAATATTTATTGGATAATAAATATACAGTTGTTAGTTTAGATCTGTATCTATTTTATTATATTTGAACCTAATTGTGTTTTTAGCTGAGGCCTAGGCTTTCAAGGATTTGATTAAAACAAAGCTGTAAGTTGTATCAAGGATAATAATATTCCTGGGTATGACAAGAGGACCAAGCCTGTTCAATCACTGTTCAAAAACTATTCTTAATTCTAGATAACTCTTCTTCTTGTTTATAGTCAATCAAAAAAAAACTTTACCCCCCCCCCCCTTAGTAATAATATGTTTTTCAAAAAATCTATTAATATATTAAGTTGTTAGTTAAAAAAATGTAAAAAAGAAATCTATTGTGTTACCTTGTAACTAACAGATACAGGTTCTCCTTCGTGTTTACTGAACTCACTTTTCAGATCTGTAGTTTCATCTAGGATAACTTCTTCAACAGCTTTATGTCCAGCTCCTAGATAATATATATAGTTTCAGATCCAGCTCCTAGATAATATATATAGTGTCAGATCAGTAGTTTCATCTAGGATAACTTCTTCAACAGCTTTATGTCCAGCTCCTAGATAATATATATAGTTTCAGATCCAGCTCCTAGATAATATATAATATATATAGTTTCAGATCTGTAGTTTCATCTAGGATAACTTCTTCAACAGCTTTATGTCCAGCTCCTAGATAATATAGTTTCAGATCTGTAGTTTCACCTAGAATAACCTCAACAGCTTTATGTCCAGCTCCTAGATAATATATATATATAGTTTCAGATCTGTAGTTTCATCTAGGATAACCTCTTCAACAGCTTTATGTCCAGCTCCTAGATAATATAGTTTCAGATCTTTAGTTTCATCTAGGATAACCTCAACAGCTTTATGTCCAGCTCCTAGATAATATATATATATAGTTTCAGATCTGTAGTTTCATCTAGGATAACTTCTTCAACAGCTTTATGTCCAGCTCCTAGATAATATATATAGTTTCAGATCTGTAGTTTCATCTAGGATAAATTCTTCAACAGCTTTATGTCCAGCTCCTAGATAATATATATATATAGTTTCAGATCTGTAGTTTCATCAAGGATAATATATATAGTTTCAGATATATAGTTTTATCAAGTAAAACATATATTTAGTTTCAGATCTGTAGTTTTATCAAGGATAATATATATAGTTTCAGATCTGTAGTTTCATCAAGGATAATATATATAGTTCCAGATCTGTAGTTTCAGGAAGATTAATATATATAGTTTTAGATCTATCTATCACATAGATAGATCATGAGAGGTTGCATCAATTTTTTAATAGCCCTTGACATGTACAATAATTTACATTTTAGAACTATAAACCATTTGTTTTTAGCTTTAGTTTTCAAGAAATGATTTGATAAATTTTCATAGATTTTTGCTGAAGACCTTGCAACTTTTGAATCAAGCTGTAAACGTTTATTTCACCTGTCAGGTTATTCAAATAATTCTCCAGGAAATCCCTCTGAATTTTCCAATGTTTTCCTTCTGTCGTAGATATCCCTGTTCTACCCTTCTGGAAGAATGTTCCAGAAAAATTTCCAGGTCTTCCAGAGAACTCATGCCGGTCAAACGCTTCCTTAATTATCAGAACCAATTTAGGCCAAGTTTGTAACTGGCTCATTTTAAACCAGACGCTTAGTTCATAAAATGCACACTGTAAACCATTTACTTGCTTTGCTCATTTTAAACCAAACGCTTAGTTCATAAAATGCACATTGTAAACCATTCACTTGCTTTGCACATTTTAAGCAGACATTTATTTTTTCATATCAGCTAAATTAAAATGTAAAAACTGTGAAATTTAAATTGTTTTTAATTAAATATTTAGTCAAATATATATCGATCTATCTATCTATCTAGCAAATGGTATACCAGACTCTAAGTTTGTAAACTTCACATTACATATATAGACCAGAAATAAGTTTTTCTTAGCTTTTTAATTTTTTATCATATATGGCTTAAAAATTGTCAGCAATAAGTTAAATAACAAATCTGGATTTGTGTCTAAATAACTTGAAATTCTCGTATAATTATCTATTTAATTATTTATTAGTTGGTTTGTTACAAACTTACGTCAAAATGACTGACCCAATAAAGCAAAAATGTTGTACGGACCTCACAAACCTGACAGACCTCACATAAACCTGACAAACCTGACAGACCTCACATAAACCTGACAAACCTGACAGACCTCACATAAACCTGACAAACCTGACAGACCTCACATAAAACTAGGAATGTTTTGCCCATGGCCTTAAAATTATCCAAACAAATATATTTAATGCAATTCTGAAAATACGAGAAAATCTTTTAGATCAATAATTGATAAACTCTTTAATGAAGTACAATCGGAAAAAATTAACACATGAAGGCTAAATTTGTGTTAGAAAGGGTGCGCATTCGCAAGGCACCCTGTTGTCCTTGAATAAATTTACCTCTGCTTACCTTAATAACCTGATAACTATTGAGAACAACTACTGGAGTACTCCCAACATATATAGAGAATATATCTCCGTACCTTTAAAGAGACTTTTATTAATTTACAATGTAGACAAGTCATAATCAAATTATGATACATTCGGTATCATTTTTTGATAATTGTAATGCTTCTTTAAGAGAATTGGAGAAATCTTGCCTTAAAGGGAATCGAGCCTTTGTCTTTTGCTTTGCCTTTACCTGATGGTCATAAGCTCTAATAGAACTCATAATTTGAGATATCTATAAAGGTCTATAAAAATTGGGTGGAAAGAAATGCGGATTAGAAAATGAGAGTTTGTGACACTGACAAAGACTCAATTTCTTTGCGATGCAAATGATAAAATGCAAAAAAAAAATCTTACTTTTTTTTAAGCGTGGAAAAAGATTTTGTGAGATTTCTAACATCAAGGATCATAGCTGAAATATTCAGAAAAATCGTTTTTTAATTAGCTTTATTTTTCACCAAATTCAAAAAGTTATCTTTCCGCCCCCTCTCATCTTCCCTAATTTTCATTAACTTTTCACCCCCCCCCCCCCCTCCTTTGGATTCACTTATACCTGGCAGGAATATGAGAAAAATGTTTGCGTAATATAATAAACAAATATTTTATTTTATTTAAAAAAACAGCTAAATCTTTTAGGTTTAATATGGAGGTTAAATTAATGTATTTTAATAAATAAATTATCATAAAATTCATTTTTGTAAATTTGTAAATTTGTTTTACCTGAACCCACAAAGGGAAGATTAATAGGCCCAGGGGGGAAATTGCTTGGCCTAAATTATTTTCCAATTATTAAATCAACAAGTTCTTTAAAAAGTACAAAAATAAAACCTTTTGTCAACAGATTTTTTATAAATTTTGGCAAGTTTGGAACCAGAACTAAAAAAACTTTGCATAATTTTATCTTTTGAGACAAAAAAATAATGGATTTGAAATATTTGGTAAAAAAAAAATTTTTTTGGTCAACAAGAATAAGTTTGTTTTACCTGACAGATGATTTTAGCCATGAAATGAAGACGACCACAAGCAAACCTATTAAAATAGTTTCCCACATTCTTCCTCTTAAATTGGTAAAAATATTCAATATTTTGCGTATTTTTCGAAACTATTATATCATGCATTCCTAGGATATAGAAATATTTTACAAATGCATAAAAGTTAACTGTGAACTTAAACCTTACTATTTGGAAATAAGATTTAAACTAAAACTAAGATCTATTTTGTCAAGAATAACTATCAAAGGACTGACATATCCTGATAAAGAATGTTGATAACAATACTGAAATTATTGTGTCTAAATAAAATTTCAAAAGGATGAAAAATCAAAAGGAACATTTTTTTGTAATAATTTAATTTTCTTTTGCAATTTTTAAAAAATTTTGTGAGGAATATTTTTCGAGTTCGTTGTTTATAAATATCCTTATCTTTCAATAAACAAGATGATGGGGGGGGGGGAGAGAAATGATAAGGATACAGCTGGAGCGTATGAGATCGTGATAAGCGATATGTTATTTGAAAAGGGTAAGAGCTCCCCTTTCACTATGGATTTACATTTTATTACAAAACTGAAATCATACACGCGAATCTTTTTACCAAATCTTGGAAGTTCTTTTATCCTAAAAAAATCTATAAAAACATGTTTTTTTACTTCGTGCAATAAAGTATTTTCGCTGATTTGAAATAAAAATAACGGAGAGACTTTTTTCCTTGAACCTTAAATCAGATTATTACTAAAATCATTGAAATCTGCAAAAAGGTTGCTAAGGAACATGTTGTTTACATTTAAATTCTATTCATTTTTATTATGACATCTCCTAAAGCTTTAAAAGATAGTACTTCAGAAAAAGAGAAATCAACCTTTTTGAAAAATAGAATTTTTATCTCAATGCAAGATGGATTCTCTATTCTACGCCAGGAATGTCTGAAAAGAACAACGCGCAAAGCGTATCTTTTAATTGTTTAAAATCTCCATCCATTTTAAAGATACCATTTGATCATTTATTCACTACCGGTAATCTAAGGCGATTTTCAAGTCTTCTCTTGATTCCCATGTTTATTGGGACACCCTGTATACCAAGGGAAACCCTTTGGCCCTTTAATTGTAAGGCACAAACTCAGAAGCACATAAAGATGGCTAGACTTAAAGGGACTGTAATTTCATGGGACCCCCCGGCCTCTATTCAAAAAAAACTTTCTTTTTCTTCTTTCTGAAAGTCAGTAATTTCCAGTTGGTAGTTTCCTGAAAAGAATGCAGATGCGGATATATGTCCAAAGAGGGTTTCTTCATTATTTCGGTATTAAATGATTTACACAAAAATTTCTTTCAAATTAACTTTTCGGAATGTACAGGGTTACCCACAAGGGATGAGACGAAGAGAAGATTGTACGAAATTTGTTTAGTCCGCTTTCTTTCCTTCAGAGTTCCTTAAATGCCAAGACTGGCTTATTTCCGGGCTTAATCATTTTGGAAACCAACAACAATCAATTGAATGCAGAAACCAAATATCAAACTTTAAATCGAAATATCTTTGGAGTTCAGTTCTCATTGTGTGGGTAACCCTGTACAACATATACGTGGACTAATATTTTTGTTCTATAAAAATTCAAATATTACACATAATCCTCAGTTTTGAGGGTCTCGCTGTATTTAATATGCTTATTGGACGAAAAGCTATTTTGACAAAAAAAAAGACGAATAGTCGTATCTTTTTACAACTTACTTAAAGAGACTGTAAAGGAAAAATGAAAGGGGATATAGGGTGAAACCTACGCATTTTAGGAGTTGAGCGAGACCCATGAGAGTTCTATCTGATTTTTCTGTCATGAGAAATTAATATAAAACTGTGTCAAATTCATACGAAAATCTATAGATATAAAATTTTGCATAAAAATAGTAGGCTTAAACGGATCATATTCAGCAAATAACAACCAATCTGAAAACAATTATATCCCACAACCAATCTGAAAACAACGATATCCCGGAGGAGCCTAAGAAACTTAGGTTTTCTCCACTTATTATTTGAATTTAATAATTTCTCATTTTTTAATATAATGAATACGTCCAAGTGACTGCACTCCCACCAATGGCAGTGCAGTATCATTATCACGTGACTCCGTATGTATCACGTAACCAGTATACCGCACTGCCATCAGTGAGAATTATGGTCACGTGATAGTATAAACATTATTTAAAAAAATATATAGCTGCAACAGTTTTATATCAATGTCTCGAGACAGGAACATCAGATAGAAATCTCATGGGACTCGCTCAACTCCTAAAATGCTTAGGTTTCAGCCTATACCCACTTTCATTTTTCCTTTAAAGTCTTTTCAACAGTACATACAGCTGATAAATCAACCCAATAAAAACTTGAAACTTTAATCAAAACTAAGCTTCACAATTTCAGGTACTCATTATAGTCGCATTCTTAAAACCTTTAAAAAATCAAGGTTTCTTCTTTCCAACAAACTAGCAAGTTTCGTCATAAATGTAATCTTAAAGCATGGATGAATTGAAAGTATAAAATTTATTTTTATCCTCAAAAATAAGATAATGAAATACACGAATTCTAATTAAGTTACAAGCGCTAAGTATTTGTATATATTGAGAGAAAAAAATGAATGCCCACATTATCCAGTCTTTACTTTTTTCAAATAGATTGTAGTACAATAGACGGCAACGTAGAATTTGTACCCTCTCAGTACAGTTGTATTCTGACGTCACAAGTGGCAATTCAGTTTTTGTGTCCGAGAAAATTATTAAAAATAATGATAATTTTAGAATATAAAGTGTTTATCTTACAGTTAAATAAGTGCAGTGTTCTTTATTTTCTGTCTTTACACTATTTTATTTAATATTGGAAGACATGTCAACTAAGGTGAGAAAATTTCGTTTTTCTTGTTTATATATTTGACAATTGTGATTTGTGACGTCGTGTTTACTTAGTCCATTTCTCTGTTGCCACCTATTGTACTTGATAATCTATTTGACTTTTTTTCAAATACATCCCTAATAAGCTCGTTAGAAAAGCTTAAGTGGGATCAAAAAAAATGTCGAATCAATCGAGTTAATATGAAAAACTCTTGTTCAGAGAAAACGTTTTTAATTTTCGTAACCATAAACCTTCAGAACACACCAACCGTTAGAAAAAAATACAAAGTATTATTTAAATGAAGTATAAATCCATATTCAAGCCAGGGTTAGCACTCATCCATGTGAAATGCACTTCCTAAAATAATAAAAACAAATAAATAAAGTAGCAAGTTAGTTCTTTTCATTGATTGTTTGTTTAAGGCGAAAATCCATGAGACCTTCCATTTAGAAAAAAATTACATTTGAATTTCAGCTTAAAAAACAAGGGAGTAATTGTAAAAATTAAAATACTTAATTAACTAGAAAAAATATCGTCTTTTCATTTTTGTTAATGTTAATCTTTTAAAGGCCAGTCCTTGTGAATCGGGTATTTCCCTAATTAATCAAATGAAAGGTCAGTTAAAGTTACATCAATGTACAGTCATAACCAGAAAGAATGAATTGACAAATAAAAAGACGTCTTTTCCATCGTCTTTGATCTTTGAAATAGCTTACGGCATTCATTTGTGTGCAATCTAATTTTACAAATATGCAAATGTGATTAATGAAACCATAATCACAAAATAGCCCTAGTCCTGGAATTTTCAAAAAGTGGTCTGCCTTTTTGTGCGTTCAAAAATACCCGAGATATAAAGAGTTAGTGCAAGATTTCATTTTAATTAAATAAAGCGCAAATTTTCTAATTCTGAATAAAATCATTCATATCATATCTCCTGTGATTTTGAACGCACAAAAAAGGCTGACCTCATTTTGGAAATGGCGGGACTGGGGCTACTTTGCGATTAACGTTTCATTAATCATATTTGTAAAACTAGATTGATAAATGAATGGCGTAAACTGTTTCAAAGAAAGACGATTGTTAAGTCGTCTGAATATTTGTTAATTAATTCCGAGTCTTTCTGGTTACGACTGTAAATAATAAGGAATCAGGAGACACATAACAATTTTTTAAAGTTTAATAAAAATAATAATACCTGGATAAACTAGTTTATCATGATCATCATCATCAACACTATGGTCATCATCGTCTTCATCCTCTTCATCTATTTATTTATAAAATACCATTAGTCTTCATGTCATGAAAACTAACAATATCAAGAAATGATTCTAGCGTTTCAAACCTTGGATACAAAAGAACTGATTACTCTCCTACGAGTCCTTATATCCTTGCAGCCTGATGTGAACCTTATATATTTCAAACTATGAATTTTACTGGATCAAAACAGTTTGAAGTATTAAAATTTTACACTATCAGGTTGATGATGAGATATGAATTGGAAAAATAATCATTTAATTCGAGTTTTCAGTTTTTTTACACATTTCAAATATTTTGTAAAATAGTAATGTTTATATTTAAAAATATAATTTCCGAACCTGAAGTTTAATATTATTCTGCAATAAATTTTACTACAGGAAAAATCAGAGTTTAATACGTACATATAGTATAATTCATCATCAAAAGGGAACAAACCAATTTATCGAGTACAGTAACATTTAAATAATAACAAAATATTTGCATATTGTATAATTTTTAACATGTACTTAATGTGCATTTGATGTTCAGTGCAGTACAGTACAGTACAGTACAGTACAGTACGGTACAGTACAGTACAGTACATCACAGTACAGTACAGTAGTGTACAGTAAGAAAATAAACCAATAATAAATAATTTACATAACTACATTTTTATGCATTTTACATTTTATAATTTTTATGGTTTTTTGTCAGCACAGCATATTATGAAATTCTTTTTCTTTTAATAATTATCATTTTATGAAAGACGGGAACAGCATGGAATAAATACTTTATATAATTTACAACGAAACGATTGCTTTTAGCATTATATTTTTTGATTATTAAAACTGGCTCCTATTGGTTGGATTAGGAAGTTGCTCGACCAATAAGAAACTTGAATTTCAGTTTGGTGATTTATTCGGTAGACTTGACAACACGGCTTTCTCAACGTTGACTATAGGAATCATAAATAATTACAGTGAATGAGACGGGAATCGTCTATTCTAAATTTTTGGATTCTTAAAAATAACTTTTAATATTTACAGAATGAATATTGATTTGATCTACTTAACATACATATACATACATTGTTAAATTTTGTTGTATTTCATAACATTCAATTGTTCTTGTAAAAAGACTAATTGAATGTATTGATTTGGCTTAGTCTCCGATTAAGCCGGGTCACCCCCTTTGGGTAATCAAAGTTTTATCGTTTCTTCTTCTTGCTTTTCTTTCCCTTGGACTTTGTAGCTCGGACATTTGGAGAGTTTGTAGTAGATCCTTCGCTTGCACTGCTAGTTCCTAAACATACAATACATAAAGGGATTATCAGGATTATTTGATAGCAAAGGTCTAACACAATCTTAAAAATGGCGCTCTTTTCTGATAAAATTTTTTAAAATTTAAAGATTATTAATTAAACTTGTTATTAGAAATCTATATTTTTGAAGTTTTCTGATTTTCATTTAAACAGAAAAGATAAAACAAGTAAGAATTGTTAGGCACTGTAACTCGAAAAACACAAGAAGACGAACGTATGGCTCAGAAACTCGAGAAGACGTAAGAATCGACACAAGGAGACCAACATTACGAGTAATAAGACTCAGAAACAAAAGAAAGAGCAAATCGGACAAAAACTTAAGCACACGACTGAATCTTTTTTTAAAAGTGCTCTAGGAGACGAGTGATGCGGCTGAGACACAGTAGTAGATGAGTCATGCGGCTGAAACACCGTAGTAGACGCGTGATACGGCTGATACACAGTTGAAGACTAGTGACGCGGCTGAAACACAATTGTAGACGAGTGATGCGGCAAAGGCACAATATTAGGCGAGGGATGGTAAGACACACTAGAAGACGAATGATGCGGCTCAGAAGACGAACTCTGTAGCTTAGAAACTCGAGAATACGAGCAAAGCATCATGAGACTTAGGAAAAAAATCGTTCAGGAAAAATATCAAATAAAGATGTCTAAATAAGAAAAAGGATAAAAGCTCTAAAAGTATTAATCTGAATTAACCTGGATAACTGGAGCTAAGGGCAGGTTTATCTCCACAGCTCATACTCTCATCATCAGTACTAGTCTCATACCTCTTCACTCCTCCTTTATTATCATCATGATCATGTTCATCATTTTCATCATTATCATCATGAATGAAGAGAGGTATGTTCAATATTTACATTATAATTACAATTGGAATTTCTGAGAAAATGAATTAATTGTTTAACCTGTTTCAGCCTCACTATCCGTCTCATCTCTGAGGGCATCAGAAAGATCTTCTACACTAACACGCTTTCCTGCAGTACGTTTGCAATATAAACAACGTTTAACTTTGCTAAGTCATCATTGTACACATGTTGCCAAGTGAAAGTAAATAGATGTTCAGTAAGTTAAAAATTCTAACCTTTGATTATTTTTCCATGAATTTCTCCTTCCTGTTCCTCAACCATCTCACTGTCAAATCTAAATTAAAATCATTTAAAATTTTTTTTCCAGATTTACATCTTGCTCAATTTGTAACAAAGAAGTATATCTTCTTAGATTAAAAAAATACAGAAAATGCATGATTAAACTATAGAATAAAGAAATGATTGAATATTTCCAACCTGAAAACATCTTCTAGCGGAGTTCGTTCCTCACTCTGAGCTTTCCTTCTCTCAACTAGAATGCATGTTTATTGTTTATTTAGAGCATATAATTACCTGGAGAAGGGGGGGGGGGGAGACTCTCATCTCCCCACCCCCTTGAAAATTGCAAAACAAATTTAAATTTGTACAGGACAAAAACAGAGAAAAATGGGAAACAACAAGATTTACTTTGAAAAGAAAAAGAGAGTTCAAGAGGAACTCTTGTATTGTGTTTGTCGGGATCAATGCTTGATCTCGATATAATCTGCAGATTAATTTAATCTTTATCGATATCTAGTGAAGTGCGGAAAACGAAGAAACCAATGAAAGAAAAGAGAAAGTAGGAATATCCAAAATCAAGCAAATTCTCCCTGAAATTCAAAAGTGGCCACTGTAGACATCGAAATCAAGCATTTGTGATTATGGGAATCCAACAGGAAAGTTCTCTGCTTTGGCCTTTTAAAAATAATTGCTTACTTTCTGAGTTTGAGAGAAGCTTGTTTACTTCAACATCAACCTCTACCTCGTCAACCTCAAAGCTCCAACCTGGAAATAAAAATTAAATCAATCATAGATAATGCTTCAATAGAAAGGACTAGATAATGCTTCAATAAAAAGGAATAGATGATTCTTCAATAAAAAGGAATAGATAATGCTTCAATAAAAAGGAATAGATAATGCTTCAATAAAAAGCAATAGATATTGCTTCAATATAAAGAAATAGATAATGCTTCAATAAAAAGGAATAGATGATGCTTCAATAAAAAGGAATAGATGATGCTTCAATAAAAAGGAATAGATTATGCTTTAATAAAAAGGAATAGATGATTCATTAATAAAAAGGAATAAATAATGCTTCAATAAAAGGAATAGATATTGCTTCAATAAAAAAGGAATAGATGCTGCTTTAATAAAGAGGAATAGATGATGCTTCAATAAAGAGGAATAGGTAATGCTTCAATAATAAGGAATACATAATTCTGCAATAAAAAGGTATAAATAATGCTTCTAAAAATAGGAACTAGTTTAGGTGATGCTTAATAAAAAGGAATAGATTATGCTTTAATAAAAAGGAATAAATAATGCTTCATTAAAAAGAAATATTTTAGATGATGCTTATTAAAAAGGAATAGATAATGCTTCAATAAAAATGAATAGATGATGCTTCAATAAAAATGAATAGATAATGCTTCAATAAAAATGAATAGATAATGCTTCAATAAAAATGAATAGATGATGCTTCAAGAAAAAGGAATATGATAATCTTATGAGGAAAAAAATGTAATAATAGAAATTCTTAAACGAGATGAAATAATCTTGATGTATTCTTTAACGAAGAATTCCATTATTACATTTTCATCCTCATAAGATTATTATTATATCATATTTGTGAGGTTCCATGGGCACATACCCACGAAATTATATTAAAAAATAATTCTGGTGAAATCCGACTATTTCAAGTTGGAACAGTTCACATTATGAAAGGTTGCAAATAAGTTTTATGCTCTTGTTCTGACTAACACTGTTTTTTATTTTTCTAATGTTAAAATGTAAAAAAAAAAACATTTTAGAAGTAAAAATTGGTTCTTAATTTGAAAGTAATGCATGTGGTGTGATTGTTTCCTTAGTTTAGTTTGTTTGTTTACCAATTTCTAATGATTTTGCTCGTTTTTTAAGTTGATACTACATTTAGATACAGCATGTTAAATGTGCCCTGAGTTTTTTTTAGATGGAGAGAAGGTAAAGTAGTGGGTTGTCTTAATCTACTGAACAATAGTGTGTCTTCATTTATAGAATAAATCATTTCCTGGATATTAGATCCTAAATCTTCCAAAAAGAGGAGATAAAAGCATGTTATCTAGTAAGAATCAGTTCGACATAAACTGATAAAGATCTTTATAAAGCAAGATTTACTGGTTTGTTTTCATTGCTATGGAGTACTAAGACTCCATTAAAAGTGTGACACTAATATTTCAATGATAAGTTTTTATACTTTTTTTTGGTTTTGATTGTGGTTTCACTTCATCATCTCAAACTATGCGAGATATGGTGACTCAGACTGAAAAGCTCTAACCATACTATACAAGTATACAGAGATTTGCAAAATCTCACCAAACTTGGTTTGAAATGAAGATGAACTAAAAATAATTAATAAAGTAGGCAGTCGGGCAGTATGCATTGAGTCTCGGCAGTTTGATGAAAGTGTCTAATGTAAGGCTAAAGACATCGTCCATATTTTTGAGAATGGTCGAAAATGTTAATTTCCACTCTTCTGTCAGGACTAGGGTTGAGATTCAAATTGATATTTCTGAATTAAGGTATATCAATACTTCAAAAAACAAAAAAGGTAATTAAGCATGTTTTACTAAAGTAAAGAAGGTAAGTTTGCATGTTTTAATGAAAAAAAAGGGTAAGTGAGCATGTTGTTTTTAAGTATTAATGTAAAAGGAAAAAGGTGAGTTTGCCCTGTGCATGCTGTCAGTACAAAATAATTAAGTTAATATCAATATTGATCTATACTAAAAAGATCAATATAAGGAGCGTGTAAGAATATACATTCTTTCACGCTCTGACCATGTAATAATTTCCATTCTTACACGGTCTGAGCGTTAAAGAATGAAAATTCTACACCTACAGTGTAAGAATAAGCATTCTTAAACGCAAGGAAGCGAACAATATTAAAATTGTTCCTCCTGAACCGTGTAATAATGGGAATTCTTACACAATAGGTTTACTACTATGGAACCGAACAGAGCTGAAAACTTTAGAATGGTGGATATCGGGATTAATGCTTGATCCTCTATTTTTGATAATCTCAAGATTTACATAATCTTGCAAGATTATCTTTAAGTGTATGAAAAACGATAATATTCAAATCAATATTTAATCATCTGAGAAACTGTAGCAGCCAATCAGAGAAAAGCGGGCAACCAATGAGAGAACAGAAATATTCTCATTGGAGAAAACAATTAACGGATATCCAAAGAGAGAGAAAAAGAGTGGATTAGGACAAAAATGAAAAGTGTCCACAGTGGATATTCGGATCAAGAAGTCAGGATTAAAGTTTATCCATTCTAAAGTTCCCAGCTCAGATATGATATAATAAAAAGGAATAGATGATGCTTCAATAAAAAGGAAAAGATTATGCTTTAATAAAATGGATGTAGAAAAAAAACAAATGAAAATGATTTTACGAATATCAGGACTTACCATCCTTAGTTTCAGGTTTAGCCTCCGCGAAATCCTCGTCCTCGTTTTCTCCAGACTCAGCCTCCTGCAAATAAATCAATCAATCAATCAATCCAGTATCAGTGCGAAAATCTAAACCTTAGAAATAAATGAAACCAATGATCTAATCATATAATGCCTACCTTCCATCCTTCAAAGTCTGTGGCACTGTCCTCCATTATGTTTCTCTGTTTCTTCTTGTTCCTCTTGGAGGCTACAGGAAGGAAAAAGTCGTCTTCCTCAGCGGTTTCCTTTTCGCGGATTTTCTCATCTTCATCATCCAACTGAGAGAATTTCACAAATTAAAGACAAGAAGAAAATTATTCAGCAAAAATCAAAATTCGAAGATTGATCATTTCCAGGTTATGTCTACTAGATTTATTATTCTGGGGAGTGGAAGGGCTAAGGATGTTACTTGTTGAGTACTTGGCAAATACTATGAGGTTTGTGCATAAAAAGGGAAAACGTAAATGTGGGGGGGGGATTACCTGTAACAATTCTGTAAGCCTAGATGTAATCTGCTCTGTGACGATCATATCCTCCTCCGTATCCTTCTCTTCCTCGTCCTTGACATCCTCCTTGATCTCCTCCTCCTCCTCCTCTAGTAGATGAGGACTATGCTCTCCAGTATCCTCGGTATTCTTCTCGAATTCATGCATCTCATCATCCTCAGATCCTGGAACATGCAGTTTTCTCACAGTTAGAAATGAATTATTCAGATAATTGTTTTAGATTATATATTGTTTGGAATCATTAAAGGGACTGTAAGCGTAGTCTAAAGTGATCTTCTGTACAAAGATGGCAATGCCCGATTTACAAAGTTACTCTTGAAACTTTAATCTCATCAAAAATTTGGAATATAACGTAATTGTTCTGCCTTGAAAAGGATTAATTTCTGTAAATTTTGCCATTTTTTCTTATAAGCAAGAAATGCATAAATCAATTTAGCAGAGAAATCACAAATGAAATAAACAAAAACATGCAGAGCTAATTCATATATCAGACAAAGCTGTAAATCGGGCATCGTCACCTTTTTATGGAGGTTCACTTGAAATTACACTTACTGTCTCCTTAATGTGTTAAATGAATCTTTTGAATAGTAATTTTCTTGAATGTTGATTTAATAATTATTGGGTATCTGACCATTTGTCCAAAGTCAAATAAATATAATAGATTAAAAGTTTGTAAACGCTTTAAGTACAGTATGTTTTAACTGCCCTGTTTTTTCCTTTTATGGTAACTTATTAATACAAACTTGTCGTCATTTTTAATTGATGATTAAGGTTTAATATTTTTTTTTTTGCAAAAAAAGCGTTCCTTAACTATCATCTTAAATAAAATAAAGATAAACGTTTTTGCATTTCTATGTTTACATTTTTTTCAAGTTTTCACCTTTATCGTCCGTATCTTCATATTTCTGCAGAGCTCCAACTATTTGGGTTTCTATTAAAGAGGTTCCTCGTCTCAACATACCATTCAACCAAGCAGACTTGAAAATATGAAAGATGGAAGAAACAAATGAATTTCATGTATTTATCAAATCAACTTCAGGGCACCACACACCACCGTGTGGGTGGATTATTTAATTAAACTTAAAAATTAATATATGATGAGAATAAAAATTTTATAAAAAGGGAGGGGGGGGGGAGGATGTTATTCAAGAATCTTTAAAGGTAAAACAGGTTGTATAAAGAACCACATATGGCCCCAACTTGTTCGGATTTCCTCAAACTAATTTAAGGATTTAAAAGCTGACCACCAGATAATTGGATAAAAAGATAAAATTCTATTGAATGCTACCTGCTGGGGTTTTGCTGCGTATGGGTTGACAGCATTCTCAAACCGTTCTGAGTCAACAGAAGACGATCTTTCACGGATATAAAACTGTTCACTGTCGTCTTCGTTGTCGTTTTCTGTGTCGTATTTCGGCTCAGAGATGGAGGCGTCCATTAGATTCTTAGGAGGAGACTTTTTCCTGTTCTCCCTGCCTCCCAGCAGAGGAAAATCATCTTCGAAAGGATCTTTCTCAACCGTAGCAACTTCAGGCTTTGGCGTTGGTTCTTTTTCAATTTCTACCTCTTTACTTTCCTCCTTAACCTCCTTCTGCTTCCCTTTCTTCTTTCTTGTCTTAGTTTCCACTTCTTTTGTTTCGTCGGCAGAGCTAAACCCGGCGGGTTCAACGACTCGTCCTAAAATAATAAAATATAATTTTCGAAAATTAAATCAATGATCTTTCCGTGTTAATTGAATACTATGAGTTACCTTTTTTCTTTTTGTTCTTCTTTTTTGGCTCTTCTTCGTTACTTTTCACATTTTCTTCTACCTAAAAAGATGTTGGTATGAAAGATGTTGGTATGAAAGATGTTGGTATGAAAGAAAGATTTCCAATGTAAAAATCAAAAAAAAAAAACTGACCGGCAGTTTTGCTGAGGTTGGTTCCAGACTCAAAGAATCCTCCTCCTTGGGTACACTGTCCTCTCTTGTCCTAGAGACCTCCTCGACCTCCTTAGGGACACTTTTTCCTCTGCTAGGAGGAGCATCTGATCCCTTTGAGTTCCCAGACTTCAAATCTTCTTGCTTCATGGGCGCGCTTTCTCTATTATCGATGTCTGGAGAACTATCCTTAGTTGCGCTCTTGCCGCGCTTTTGTGGCTCTGGGGGTTCCGAGGATGGCAACCTTGTTGGATCACGTTCCTCAGCTTTAGCGCGCTCTTGCTCCAGAACTTCCTCGCGCATAATATCTTCAAGAAGGCTGGGGTCTCTGAAGTAAACGCACAGTTATAAAACATGTTTCTTTATTGTACATGGGAACATTTTAAGAAATCAACTTAATTGGAAAATTACACTTATTAACCAATTAATGTTGCCAAATTTAGGAAGTTTCCTGTAGATTTAAACTCTACATAAAAATGAGTTTTTAAGCTGTACTGTACTGTATTGTACTGTACTGTACTGTATTGTACTGTACTGTACTGTACTGTACTGTACTGTACTGTACTGTACTGTACTGTACTGTACTGTACTGTACTGTGCTGTACTGTACTGTACTGTATGATGATCCTACCTGTATACAGGAAAATATTCTTCACTTGAATCATACTCTTTTACTTTCCTAAAATTATTCAGTTGATAAAAAAAAAATTTTTTAACTGAATTAAAAGGCGTTGAAAAAAATACCTTAATGCTGAGCCAGCAGCCAGCACCACGGGACGATCAATCATTTGATTTTCCATATCCTAAATTCAATCAAATACAAAATCACTGAATTGATGAAAAAAATGACTGATTAATTAAATTATCAAAAACTGCTTTTCATGATAAAAAACTATATAGCTGCATTTTCCCCCTCTCTATATATGATTTGATAAATTGAAAATATTACATATAATCACACGATCTAAATTGCTGTTTCTGTTCCTCGCTAGAATATTCTCCACTTCTGCGAATTATTCAATATTCATTTATCTATTAATCATATCAATCTCATTGTAAAGTAGAACAAAATTTGTTTTAAACACGACAAAATCACTTTTTAAAACGTCAGTGAATCAAAAAAGATGAAATATCAGACTCTTACTGTCAGGGGCGCCTTACGCAATATTTTCCAGGGGGGTGTAAATGATTGAAATACAAATGAACTAAGTTTTGGCTGATTTAAATAAAATTCAAAGGTCTAGAAGGTATTATCTCAAAGTTAAGTTTTGAACTTTTCCAGAGGGACTTCCTCCAGATTTTCCTGGGAGTGGAACGTCACTCCTCAGAGTGCCCTACTCTCAAAAAGTGACTTAATCGGGTCAGTGGAGAAACCTTTTAAATCGTTATGATTAGCGAAATGTAAATTTTTCAGGATTTAGATACCGACTGCTCTGTGCACTGTGCAGGTTACTCCAAAAATTTAGTAATTCTTAAACAAGTAGTTTACCTTGTAAACATAGTTGTGGGTTTCCTGTGATTTCCCTGGTTGAACAGCAACAGAGAATATTTTAGATTCAGCTGTTACCATCTCTACACCCCTGAACAATAATATTTTAGATTCAGCTGTTACCATCTCTACACCCCTGAACAACAATATCTTAGATTCAGCTGTTACCATCTCAACACCCCTAAACAATGATATCTTAGATTCTGTTGTTACCATCTTAACACCCCAAAACAATGATATCTTAAATTCAGCTGTTACCATCTCTACACCCCTGAACAACAATATCTTAGATTCAGCTGTTACCATCTCTACACCCCTGAACAATAATATCTTAGATTCGGCTGTTACCATCTCAACAGCCAACACCCCTGAACAGAAATTGATGTTTTTATTCGTATAAGGAAAATTTTTCCATAGCAGGTGTTATTGCCGTTCAATTTAAAGCCTTATAGCGGTCTCTTAACTCTTCTTAACAGGGTCTTTTAAAAATTGAAATAAGGGCTCTTAAGGACATCAAACATTTATCAATTTTCTTGTCTTTTAGTCCTTACTGCCCTTTTTATCCATCGTATATCACTCCAACTGTAAATACCTATGTATTGCTGATGAATGACGACTCCTAGTATGAGATACAGTACTCCCACTCCTACTCCTACTTACATCCTCTGTAGAGATGGAGAAGAACCCCTCATGTCTTCCATCTCCTAAATATTCCAAATCACGTTCCCGTCTCCTAAAATATCCCCAAACCTTTCACAGGAAAAAATCAACTTTTGAAAAATTTGAAAGGGTTTCGATTTTATTTTAGATTTATTTGGGGGAAAATTCAACACTCTTTCAGAGCTCTAGTTATTTTATTCAATCAAAATATTAAATTTTCTCTTTAATACTTTAGTTTTCGTTTACCCAAAAATTTATTTTATTCCCAAAAGTTAAATTAAAGCATAACCCTTATTTGTTAATTTTCGAGGCTTAAGAAAATTATTTTTTGAACTAAAAACAAAAACAAAAATGTGAAGAATAAGAGTTAAAAAACTAATGTTTGTTGAAGAATATTCGCTTTCAATGCACAGCAAAGTTAAGTTTTACAACAGGAAACAAGAAAACTTAATAAATACAGAATAGCGGAAGGATACAAGAGTAAGGCATGCAAAACTTACTCATGTGTAAATATAACTATTTAAATTCTCATACTATCACAAATGACTAAGTGCATATGAAAAGTACAAATAAAAAAGGTTGGAATTATAACACAAGCAGGATGAAGGAAGCTAAAATTAATTAGATAATTTAAACTTAATTTTAGCTTTTGTTTTAAAACTTGCTTTTCAAATAAGCTCAATTACAATTCATAGAAAAAAATCTGCTAAAATGACAACAATGTACAATTATGTAGCAAAACTGATAGTTTTTATTTTATTTTATTCTTACAAAATCTAAAAATACTTGATCTTTATTAGCTTAACTGAATTATGTTAATATCAAATTAAACAAAATGAAAGAATAAATTTTAAACCAGGAGTAAATTTTTCTAGATTCCCAAACCTTGGGAGAAAAAAATAAAAGAATTGGATAGTTTTAAGAGAGTGGGGGGGGAGGGTTTAGGAAGTAAAAAAATACATACTCCTGTTTAAACGGTCACATGAAATTGAATCCATAATTTTAAAATTCGGGTTAGTGACGTTTTCATTGTGGAATTTTATAAATATAAAAAAAATTAATTAATAAAACTAAATAAAACTATTATAAAAATGACTGTCAACATTTACAAACGAATCACTGATTCAATTTCAATAATAACTGGCATTTGAACTAGATACATACAATTTTTGATAATGTCTATATCAAACATTTTATCCCTTCAAAACATGATACAGGGGTATATTATCTATACTTATTCTGATAATTATATCTGTTTTGTATCAGAAAATAAACTAAAAACGTGTACATTGACTAGATAGAATGTATAACCCTGTATCAAGAATATACATGTGATTGTTCGACTAAAAAAAATAAAAAAATAGAGAAAAATAATATTAATAAACTTCAGGTTCTAATGTAATTAAATCATAAAACTACTGCTATCTTATTTTCTAATAAATTGGTAATCATATTATATTTAATAACTGATGTGAGTGTAAACTAAATGAAATGAAACAGAACATGATTTCATAAATTAAACTTGAATGACTCACCCTCCCCTGAGAGCTTGGTGCTGACGGTGTCCGACATTGCCTCGTTCAACTCTTTCTCCAGGTCTAGGTGCACCTGCTCCTGGGACCCCCTGCATAGATAGATAGATAGATAGATAGATAGATAGATAGAAATATAAATAGATAGATCAGATAAAGCTTTAAATTGATTGAGTGGTAGATGGATAGATTAGATATAGATAAACAGATAGGTTGGTAGGCAGACAAATAGAAAGATAGATAGGAAGGTAGAAGATAGACAGATCGATGGTTAGATATAAAGGTGGATAAATTGATAGATAATTATAAAGACAAAAATTAATGATAGATAGATAGATAAATAGGTAGGCACCGTGCACGTGGATAAAGATAGATAGGTATGGAGGTATGTGCACTGGCAGGTAAGTAGGATTTTAGACTGATTGCCAGTTAGGAAGTTAAATTATGTTAGATAAAGCCAGGTAAGTAGATATCAATAGATAGGTAGGTAGGTAGTTAGGAAGGTAGGTAGGAAGGTAGGTAAGGAGATAGGTAGATAGCAAGGTAGTTATATAGGTATGTCGCTAGATAACTCTAACTAAGTAGTTAGGTATAAAGACAGATAAAGTTTTTTGGGACTCAACGTAGTTTTTGACCCAAGCACTATTAGTATCCCTACCTGACTGCCGCGTTCGCAAATCTCGGTGAGAGTTCAAAACTGTTCGCGGAACCGCACTCGATATAAACCGGTTTCTTGTTCAGCATACCACCACCCTTAAATGAGTAAAGAGTTGACTGAACCAACCTTTTAATCTAAGCAAATAATACACTTGACAATATTTAATTTTGGACTTAAAATAATTTTAGCATAGTCAGGAGATATTTTAATTTACAATTCCATTTTAAAAATTAAAAAACTTGTTTATATCTAACTAAAGGTACTTACAGGCATCTGCATAGGTTCTGATTTAGGTCTGCAGGCTACAGTTACATCAAGATCTTTCAACTCATCTTCCTCACCGGGCTTCTATACAATACGAATTAACATTCAATATTGATTGAAATAAAAAGGAGAAGTTGTCAATGTTGTCTAAAATGACAAAAGTTAATTAAAAATATCATTTGCAGAATAAGAATATCTTACAAATTATTTGAAAAGGATGAATTTTGATCAAATGAAAATAATAATGAAGAAATTGATACTTTTAAAAAAGTAATGGAATAATGTAGGCCCGTAAAGATAAATGAAAAAAAAGTGAAGAGAAGGAGAAATGAATGTGTAACTAAATTAATGAAGAGATGAATGAAAGGATAAATAATTGTACCTGGAATGGTCTGAATGAGAACTGAGGTCCCATCCAAAGTCTTCGAGCTGGACCAATGTGGGTCAAGATTTCAACCTGAATATTTTATTTGAATGTTTCTTTTTTTGGAATTCACTTTTCAGGCATTTTGTTGCAATTGTATTTTGAGTAATAATTGTTGGCTCAAATGAAGATTAAAATTCTTAAATCGAATAGTAAATCAAGAAACTATTTGACTTAGCCGTATTTTAAAAATTAGTACATCTCTATAAAAAGTCACATTCAAGTTTTTTTGAATAAAGATTCTGGCAAATTACGTTTCAAAGAAATGGTAAAAAGTTGCTTCAGCTTGAATAATCCTCAATGATAAAAATCATATAATTATCATAATAATAGGATAGAACAAAATTGAAACAATTTAATTTACCAACTATAATGATTTTTATTAAATTAGTGATTTAGAAAGAACAAAAATTTTAATTTTAAAAATAAAAACTTCAGATATAATAATGGGTTTAGCAGATCAGTTTTCAGACGAACAAATTGATGAGGTTAAGGTTAGAAAAATTTTAATTTTAAAAATATATTTTTAAAACTGACCTGGCTGAGCCACCTCTCCTCCTCCTCCTCTTCATCCTCCATCCAACCCTCATCCTGGACCAAATCAAATAACAACAAAATGTAAAAACTAACTCGTCAAATATTTTCCATGATTATCATCAAGAATATTCAATATCTGGAATCTTTATCAGCAAAAAGTCAGTTTGAATAAATCAATTGTTTGCATGGATTTTCACAAATAATGTATTGAAATAAAATCTGGTGTAGTAGGACAAAATAATGTATTTAAATAAAATCTGGTGTAGAAGGACAAAATAATGTATTTAAATAAAATCTGGTGTAGTAGGACCAAAATAATGTATTTAAATAAAATCTGGTTCAGAAGGACAAAATCATGTATTAAAATAAAATCTGGTTCAGCAGGACAAAATCATGTATTTAAATAAAATCTGGTGTAGTAGGAGGAGTAGGACAAAAAGTCTATTTTTATGATTTAATATCCACTGATAAAACTATTTACCTAAATTAAGACTAAATGTTAGATTTAGAACCAAAAAAACATGAATTGTACATATCTATTTTTTCTTTAAATGAATACGAATAAAATATTTCTTCTTCCTTCTTACCTCTCCTGGGGAGAATAGAGGCCGCCAGAGAAGTAGAGGATTGGTAGAGGACAGAGGGGGAGCAACCTCAATTCTACAAAATATTTATTTCTTAGAATAATAATTTATCCATCAAGTTGATCAAAGAAATTTCAGATATTTTTTTATAAAATTTAAAGAAACCTAGTGGGAATTTTAAGATTTCTTTACATTGTATTAAAGATTTCTCTTTCTTGTACATATCTGTAAAGTGTATTAAAGATTTCTATTTCTTGTACATATCTGTAAAGTGTATTAAAGATTTCTATTTCTTGTACATGTCTGTAAAGTGTACTTTTTTTTACTATATATCGATACGAAAATCATCCGAAAAACTATTCTCTATATCTCACCTCTCCTTTCCTACAGGTTTGAAGAGGTTCCACTGACCAAAAGCTGTCACATGGAGCTGGATTGGACTAGACTCACAAACCTTATCCCTGAATAAAATAAATAAAAATAAAAACTCAAAACACGCCAATGGCCCCCGCCTCTTATTTTTTAAATGTCTGTTTATGTCCCTGGTGATTGTCTTATTAAATTAACTGAAAATTGTCTGATCATGTCTCGTTGTTATATTATGTACCTGGGAATTGTCGTGATCATGTACGTGGGAATTGTCGTGATCATGTACGTGGGAATTGTCTGATCATGTACCTGGGAATTGTCTGATCATGTACCTGGGAATTGTCTGATAATGTACCTGGGAATTGTCTGATCATGTACAGGTTCTAATGAATATTCCAGAAGTTGACCATGGTTTGCCATCACAAACAAAGAATCTGCCGCTTTGCGAGTGTTTCTAAAATAAAAATTCATTCAAATAAAACTATTCACTATATTTAATTCAGATACCTGGAAATAATTAAAACTTTAAAAAATACCTATAAACTGTTGTAGGATGGAGTCCGGTCATATTGCGTGCGCGTGAAGGCGCGAACGCGGCGACAACGCGCACAGGGTTTTCTTCAGGAGCAGAATTCTTTTTTCCCGCCAAACTCTTTCTAGAACAGATTTCATGAGAAGTAGTTGAACTGTGTAGACGTGATTGAACCTATTTACTTGGGCGCAAGTTCAAGTTTAAAGAGAAGTGGTTCAATTAGGTCCACACGGTTCAACTACTTCTCGCTATTCATCAATTGTGGTCCCTAAAAGCCCCACTTTACAGTACTCTCGCAAATATCATTTAAAAGCAATTCAAATATTTTAAATTCAATTTAAGTTACATCTCTTACCTATTTCCCGGGATGGTTACACTATTAGTGATAGTGACTATATAGGGTTGCCTGAGCTGAGCTACGGGTTGTATAAGAGTAGGTGTAGGGTAGGGAGGGAGGTGAGGTGACGGGTATGCTAGGGACCCGGTACCACCCATCCCAGCAGGGAATTCAAAACTCTTGTTTGCAGCCGGGGAGGAACCAAGGTTAGGGTTCGGAGAGTTCCTAAAATGTATAGCGGCATTAATATGTATAAAATTATTTAGTTGAACAAGATTTACTACCGAACATTGAAGGCAAAGCATGAAACATAATGTAAAGTTTATTTCTTTGTGAAACAAAAATATGAAGTAGAAAATGAAAATATGATTATTATATATATTAATTTGAATGCCATTAAGAAGATAATAATAATGTGATGTTAATGATCATGTTAATGTTCATGTTCATGTTGATAATGATAGTGTTGATGTTGGTGTTCAATGATGATGTTGTTCATGTTCAAATTGTTCATGTTGATGTTGGTGTTGATTTCAAAGGAGATGAATTTGACGTTGGGGACAGTGATTATGTAGACGATGGTTTTGTTTGAGTGTGTAGAATGTGATTATGATTATTTTGTTGATGGTTCCATTACATGCAAACGATAAATTGATTAACGAGTTTAAAAATGATATTGATAAGAATATGACATACACAAACAATTATAATTTTCAAATTAATGCTGATTTTGAATGCATTTTGTTTGATCATAACTTGAAAACGAGATGGAAATGACTATTTCAATTCAAATTAGTAATTATTACAACAATAATTTAATGTTTTTTTAGTAATCTTGTAAATGAGAAGAATGCCAGCAATTTTATTCTAATTATAATTTTGATGACCAGCTTTATCATCTTCTATATGTGGTTTGTTAGATCAGTCTAGTCAGGATAAATCCTTAAGGTTAGATTGGTTGATTACAGCTGACCTGCCGCCAGGATAAACCGTTAAGGTTAGATTGATTGATTAAAGCTGACCTGCCGCTGGAAGTAGAAGGAATGTTTTCATTTAGCCCAGCTGATCGATGGAATCTGGAAAGCTTGTTTACTACCCTGTAAAAAATCAAAATTCTTTTTATAAATGTACCTCGTGAGACTTATTCCAAAAACTGTTGGTTAAATTATTGGTAAAACAATGATATTTTCAAATCTAAGTTATATCAAATAAGTTTATAAATCAAGGAAACACTAAATACCTATGTGAAGTATGTGTGCGAACACCAACTGGACCTCCGTAGGGAGAAATTGGGAAAATATGCGTTGTCCCGCGAAGGGTAGATACCGTCACCCATCTAAAAGTAAAAAATTCAATATGGTGTCTTTATATTAAGTATCAAGTTCAAATTGGATTCCATATATTTCGAATCAAATTCAAATTAAGAGATAAAATACATTTCAACTCAATTAAAATGGCGTCCATACTCCATATTTTTCAAAGCAAAGCGTTCACACATTTCAATTATTATTGAATTTTAAAATAGTGTCTCATATATTTAAATTCAAAATGGCGTCCAAAATGTTTCCATTCAAACTCTAAATGACCGAACATGTTTCTTCATACAGTATTAACAAAATTATGCAAAGGGAAAAGTAAACTAATTCTGGCCATAAACCACCCAGAGGGCCATGAAGTCAAACTATTTCAAATCAAAGTCAAAATGGCGTCGAAGTATTTCAGTTAAAGTTCAAAATGGCGGGCGTTTTATTCCAAATCTAAACAATTTTTCTTTTGAATAAGTTTGTCCATGAGATTGCAATGGCGACTGAATCCAATTCCAATTTTTTTTAAAGAGTGCGTTCTTTTTACCTTGAGTCCGCGGAGAAAGCGATATCTTGTACTGAGCCTGGTGTATCTCCTCTGTAGAGAGAGTAAAGATGGTGGACAGCGGCGTAGGCAGATCCCAGGGGGTGTGCAACTATCCTGTAAGATCAAACGGGGGTGAATATTAGTTCTGGGATTCATATTTATCCCCCCCCCCTTTAGAAAAATATTTTTTCCCAAAACCACTTCTTTGTCAACAGGTGTTTTTTTTTACATGCTGGGTTAGCAGCCCGCGGAAGTTTTTTGCTGCAGGGGCGGGGGGGGGGGGCGTAGGAAGGGGGAAATGAAAAATATAAACCACTGAAATAAAACCAATGTTAAATATTTGTTTATTTTGTTCAATAAATGGTTTATTAAAATAATTGTTACCTAAATAAATTAAAACTGTTTCCAGGTTTATCAGCGGTTAGAAGTAGGCTTCCACTAGGATCAAATTCCAGTGCTACTATGGCCTTAATATAATAATTATTCAACCATTTTGTGAACAACAGGGCTTTTATTTATCAAAATGTGATTTGAAAAAATGTATTACAAATTGAAAATTTAAGCTTATGAGTAATTTCTTAAAATCACTGAAAGCTAACTTTTGAAAAAACCGTCAAATAAGAATATAATAAGCACAGCTAACCTTATTATGTGCTACAAAGTGTGCTACAACGCCATCTAGTTTCTGATTCTGTAAATCATATCCGAGCTCATCCTCTCCCACACTTAAGCTCATGGTATCAAGAACAGTTATAACTCCTCGCTCTCCGTCTCCCACTAAATCTAGTATAATATAACTGTTCAGGGTTCTTCATAATACAGAGAAAACCAGAAAAACTGTGGAATGGGAAGACGATATTAACACAAAAAATAAGTTTTTGACGTGGTTACAAATAGTTTTAGGAGTAGCTTGATCTACTTGTTAAGTGAATTGGGTTTGTTGGCACACTGCACAGTACAACTGCTATATTTCATGACCATTGGACTATCTATAGTCATAAATTAAGTTTTCAAGTCGTCTTCCTATACCACAGTTTTCTGGTTCTCACTGCTATTGTATCATTACGATCTACAAGGGTTTCTTAATAAAATGTTCAACTTGTCATGATATGTCAGCTAATTATGGGCCTTGTTTTGGTTCGTTTTTAAACTTTCCAAAATTTCTTTTAGTCCACTTTAAGAGACTTCAAGAATTTGAGATATTTAACATATTTCGAAGATGTCTTCAATTTAATTCTTTTCTATATTATGCAATTAAATATTCTCTGGCATTAGACTTTAAGAAAAAAAACTTTATGAAAACGATTTGATCAATTTATTTTTCGTTTAAGCCTTTTATCTTTTAAGGTGTAATAGAGCATACAATTTTGGAATGTTATGAACTTCTTTGATTTGAATCTCTTGAAACTTCTTAAGTAATATTTAAAATAAAAACAATGCCCATATAAGTCACTCACTATAAATAACATAAAGATTACAGAAGTTTTACCTGGCGAAGTAGCAGGTTTGGTTGACCCCGAGAATATATTTGAGCAGACCTTGGCTACCCCGCTGGCCAGCTTACTTCCTACATTTATACCCCAGGCTGTTACAGTGGACTGGGATATATCACCCTCCATACCGCCAGACGATCTAATCAATTTATCAATCAAAAAAAAAAAAAATTAATATTTTATAACTTTTATTAGATTCGAATTTCTCTGACATTTTCTTAGTAGAAAATAAAATAAATTTTTTATCAAACCTTGTGTTTTAAAGAATATGTTTCATGTGCCCGACTAAATGTTCAATTTTCACCGACTAGAAAATATATATTTTTTATCAAACCTTGTGTTTTAAAGAATATGTTTCATGTGCCCGACTAAATGTTCAATTTTCACCGACTAGAAAATAAAATAAATTTTTTATCAAACCTTGTGTTTTTAAGAATATGTTTCATGTGCCCGACTAAATGTTTGATTTTCACCGACTAGAAAATATATATTTTTTATCAAACCTTGTGTTTTTAAGAATATGTTTCATGTGTCCGACTAAATGTTCGATTTTCACCGACTAGAAAATATATATTTTTTATCAAACCTTGTGTTTTTAAGAATATGTTTCATGTGTCCGACTAAATGTTCAATTTTCACCGACTAGAAAATATATATTTTTTAAATAATCTTTTACCTTCTTGCATGGCATAACGTTTTATCAGAGAACGCCAACCATCTAAAATATATCAATAATTGTAAAAAAATTAACAGCAAAATTAGTAAAGAAAGTATCTATAAACAATTACAAATCAAATGACAATTTCTAGACTAGTACAGGAAGATATAATCTGAACCTGGAGTGTAGTGCTAGAGGATTACTATGTACAGGACTAGTATAGCAAGATATAATCTGAACCTGGAGTGTATTGCAAAAGGATTACTATGCACACTGTACAGGACTAGTATAGCAAGATATAATCTGAACCTGGAGTGTAGCGAAAGGATTACTATGTACACTGTACAAAACTAGTATAGCAAGATATAATCTGAACCTGGAGTGTAGTGCTAGGGGATAACTATGTACAGGAATAGTATAGCAAGATACAAACTGAACCTGGAGTGCAGTGCTAGGGGACTACTATGTACAGGACTGGTAAAGCAAGATATAATCTGAACCTGGAGTGTAGTGCTAGAGGATTACTATGTACAGGACTAGTATAGCAAGATACAAACTGAACCTGGACTGCACTGCTAGGGGATTACTATGTACAGGACTGGTAAAGTAAGATATAATCTGAACCTGGAGTGTAGTGCTAGAGGATTACTATGTACAGGACTAGTATAGCAAGATACAAACTGAACCTGGAGTGCACTGCTAGGGGATTACTATGTACAAGACTGGTAAAGCAAGATATAATCTGAACCTGGAGTGTAGTGCTAAGGGATTACTATGTACAAGACTAGTATAGCAAGATACAAACTGAACCTGGAGTGCAGTGCTAGAGGATAACTATGTACAAGACTAGTATAGCAAGATATAAACTGAACCTGGAGTGTAGTGCTAGAGGATAACTATGTACAGGACTAGTATAGAAAGATATAATCTGAACCTGGGGTGTAGTGCTTGAGGATTACTATGTAAAGGACTAGTATAGCAAGATATAATCTGAACCTGGAGTGTAGTGCTAGAAGATAACTATGTACAAGACTAGTATAGCAAGATATAAACTGAACCTGGAGTGCAGTGCTAGGGGATTACTATGTACAGGACTAGTATAGCAAGATATAAACTGAACCTGGAGTGCAGTGCTAGGGGATTACTATGAACTCCGGGACTAGCGTAGCAAGATGTAAGAGTAAACTTCTCTCTGAAGGTTAAAGCAGAGAATACAGCAACCTTCTCCCTGGATATATAAATCATAATTAAAACCAGCATTCACTAAATCAATTTTAACATCGAACAAGAAAACAAGCATAACAATTATATTGCTGATTTCTAATACAACTTATTAGAAGTAATTCGAAAAATCTTACAAATCAATCAACTAGCTATCAAACCTATAAACAAGATTAAAAACAACAACAATAAGCTTATACAACCAATCAATTAGCTGACAAATCAATAAATAAGCTTATAACTCTATCAATATGAAAAATCAGATTAAACTGACCTAAATGCAACGCATACCACCCGTTTGTTGGCGAGTATGTCCACGATTTCACTGTTAAACTTTATAGAAGAAACCTAAACAAATAAAAAGTTCAGAATTATTAAATTTGTACGTTAACTTATTCTTATTTGTTAAAAGCCTACACAAACATATTTATATTAGAGTGGGCAATAATGCAAAAGTAGATGAACCAGTTACAGTCAGTTCAACTGCTTCTCTAGTATTGCTCAGATCACGTTGAATCATATCAAGACTCTACAGTACACATCAAGTTGATCCGGCAGCAATGGCGAATAAGTTGAACTGACTGTACCTAGGATCACCTGTTTTCCTCTACTTTTTAATCCCGATATCATATTTTTAATATGGATCAAGAAAAAATCCTAATAAAAACTAAGTTCACCTGTTCTCCTGTAGCCAAAGATATAAAGGACACCGACATAAAGGCAGGCCCGGCCCCTAGTAAATATTGATAAAATTAAATTTTTTTGGATGTTTCAAATCTTCAGGTAATGCAAGTTAAAACAAACGGAAATATACACAAATTTAAAGCAGTGAGATAAATTTTTTATAGGACAGTTTTTTTTAATGTTGAGAAATAGTTTAAATAGGTATGGATATGCTTCTTTGGTGCACTTTCGGCTATAACTAAGAAGTATTCTAGTTCAACAACTTCTCGGTATTCATAAATTTCGACCTCAGAGATATCATTATTCCCTACTTTACCTGATGAATCACAGATAGCAACTAGAGGCCGGGAGGGGGAGAAGGGATCAGTGAAAGGATTAACTGCTTCAGGGGTTGGAAGAATCTTCAAACATTTAACCTGAACATAACAACTTATACAACCTTTTTTTGCGTTTGCATAAAAATAACGATTTTAAATTTTTTTTTTTTGAATCAACTGTTTCTTTTCAGAAATATTTTAAGGTTCTATAATAAATCGCTCACTATTTCAGAAGATATATTTTATTAGGGTAATATTTTCAACCATGAAGAATATCCATGCGTCCGAATCCAAGTTTTCAATTAGTTTAAATAAATTTTAGGACGGATTAATAACATACCTGTCCATGGAACCAGGATAGAACGAGCTGCGCTTCTCCTGAACCCTGGATACACCAGACCTGGATACCCTGGGAATATCCTAGAACCAGGAGTAGAGGTACAGAGTTCCCATTTAAATCCTAGTCAAGATTAGATATAGATGTATCATGTATCTTCTATATATTTACTTTGCTCTTCTGTCTGTCTGTTTGTTTTTGTTTGTTTGGGTGTTTTCCGTTTGTATCCAATAAACGTCAAAACGGCTCAACCGATCGGGCCCAAACTTTGAGTGTGACCTCACCTCACATGACCCCAGGGAAGGTTTAACGAACATCAAAATTGAGCGGGAAAAATCCTGGAAAACAGTTGGAATTTTTTTTAATGCGCCAATTTAAAAAGAAAACCCTACAACAGAGTCAATTAAATGCACGCCAAAGTCCATTTAAAAAATAAATATGATTTAAAATAAGCCAATGTAGGCAGAAACTACAAGTTTGTTTGCCAACTTATCAATTACTTTCCCCTTTATTTCAAAAACATTTTAACAACCTAATCCACCTTAAACCGAACTAAAATTAAAAAATAGTCGTTCTTTTCCACGTATATCAGTTTAAAAGATTTGGATATTGAAAAAAAGTATCCTGAGCTGAAAACTTTAGAATTTTGGATATCAGGATTAATGCTTAATCCACTCTTTTTCTTAATCTCCAGATTAAATATTGCTTGTTAACCTCATGAATTTAATCTCCGGAGCTGAAAACTTTAGAATGGGATATCCTTAATCCCGATCGGTTAATTTATCTGGAGATTAATAACAAGAGGAGAACAAGCATTATTTAATCTCGAGATTAATAAAAAGAGTGGATTGAGCATTAATCCCGATATCCACCATTCAAAAGTTCCCAGCTCAGATTAATTAACAGATCATGATTAAGGATATCACATTCTAAAGTTTTCAGCTCTGAGCTGAAAACTTTAGAATTGTGGATATCAATATCAATGCTTGATCTCCTCTTTTTATTAATCTTATTCTTAAGATTAATTTAATCTTACAGTAATATGCTGAAAAGTATCTAAAGTGCAACCAATCAGAGTGTCAATCGTAGAAACCGATCAGCCAATCAGAAGTCCAGAAACTTTGAGATAACTCTCAAGATAACTCTCATTGGTCCAGCAGTGATATCCAAAAGAGGATTAATAAGAAAATCAAAAGTGTCCACATTGGATACAGAGAAAATTAGCAATCAAATAAAAGAGTTTTCAGCTCTGAGCAAGGAGAGCAGGGAACTTTTGAATTGGATACTCATAACCGGTCGCTCAATCTCGATATCCACTACGGGCATTTTTAATTTGAGGATTAATCCTTTATCTCTTCATTTCAGTTTTCCCTTGAGGCGAATAAAAATTAAATTGATCTGCATATTAAAAATATCGAAATAAGCATTGATCTCGATATCCGCAAAGCAAGAGTAGTCAGCTCTGACATAGAAAAAAGTTTACCTGGTTTTGAGGGAAAAGGCTGGGATCATTGATATCCGTGTGTTCGAACCTGGCCCAGATTATCTGAGATTTAGGATCAGTGCTAGGCTGGTTGTACGACTGGACTTCATTGATAAACCCTGAACAACAAAATTTCTATAAAAGGAATTTAATTGCCCACAACATCCTATTGTACATGGTTCACCGACATGGGGGTCAAACGACTTATGGTCAAACGACCCAGGGTCAAATGACCTAGGGTCAAACGACTTAGGGTCAAACGACAAACGGTCAAAAACGCGACCAAGGGTAAAACGATTAAGAGTCAAAATTGGAAAAAATATATTTATGTATTATATCAGAATTAGGTTAGGTTAAGACAATTTCTGGACCGAGCGCTGCGGCTAGGACAGGCGAGGGGGCCGAGCTCTGCGGCTAGAACAGGCTAGGGGGCTAAGCGCTGCGACTAGTAGTTCAAATTAACATAAAACATAACATAAAAATATGTATTATTTCATGGTAAGGTTAGGTTAAGACAATTTCTAGGCCGAGCGCTGCGGCAAGGACAGGCTAGGAGGCTAAGCACTGCGGCTACTAGTTCTAATGAACATAAAAATAGTTTGAAATTAACCAAAAATAGTCTAAATGAAATTTTGCCCGTTTGTCGCACTTTCACCCGATGTCGTTTTACCCTTTGTCGCGTATTTGACCGCTTGTCGTTTGACCCTAGTCGTTTTACCCTTATGTCGTTTGACCCTAGGTCGTTTGACCATATGTCGGTGAATCTACTACATGCATCGTGTATCTTTGTAACCTGAACCCGAATTCAATGAATTTAAAGCGCGTCGCTGAACCGCCAAACAAATGATCAAAGTTTATATAAAATGATTTACAGTTTATACCATCAGGTGTCAAAGATTTAGGGATTATAAAATCAAAGTTGGAGGCGAGTAATCAGTTCCTATCTTGAGTTCTAATTAGGCGAAAAACTGACCTGCTACGGATTCCATGAGGGACTGCTCGGTGACCTGCTGAGGTCGGACCACAGTAGGTCCTGACCTAGTCCGACCTGTTAACAATAATTCAATTAAGACACCTTTTAAATTAATTCAATACGTGATAAAAAAAGCTTTTATTTTTTATGAAAAGCACCTTTATAATAAAAAAGATGATAAATTTCAAATTAAAATGTTCCTACCTGTCATGGGGGAATCAGCTGTTCCGGAGCGGGACCTCCCTGAAACTGGAGAATCAGTCATTCTTGAGCTAACTAACTAATGCCGCCATTTTGAGTTATTTGACGCCATTTTGTAAACATTGCATAACTTTGATAATCAACCTCCTTTTTGATTCCGTGACCATTAATAACTGTTACATTTTTATAATAATTGCAAAACTTTTAAAATGATTGCACCACCCTAGAAATAATTGATTTGAGCACTTGAAATAACTGCAACACTCATAAATAATAGTACAACTCGTACAATCATTGCAACACTTAAGAAAAACTTGCACAACTTTGGAAATAGTAACATCACTTTTGAAATAATGTCACCACTTTTTTTAAAAATAATTGTGACACTCTCTTTAAATAATTGCACCACTTTCAAAATTATTGCACCAAATTTGAAATAAACACCAATTTTGAGATTTTTGCAACAAAACACTTTTTAAAAAACCTAAAAAAATATAAAAATCCAAAACGGCATTCCTTAATGTATTTTAAGTCACTCAATGGAACATGATCATTTTTATACTTTAACTTTCTTATTTTCTGAAAACGGTTAGAGTTTGAGGTAAGGAACAGATCTATTGTTAAAATATAGACATCAGTTAATATTTTGTAGTTTTTTAATCAAAAAATAAAATATTTAACGCCGACATACTTGCTTTCTCGGAGAAAATTAAGGTCAAATACAAATGAAATTACAGAAAAAAAAATAGTTATGTCATAAGTTAGTATATAAACAATAACAAGGACTAGAGATTTCATAATAAATAAAACTCTTGAACATTTACATATCAGTTAACAAACAGTTAGCACCAAATAATTGTAAAATTTCTTTTGTCAAGTTTAGTAGAACACAAAGGCACATACAAGAGTACAAGAAAATATTTTTAACATCAAAATTGGTCGATTTGGCACATTGGTGAATTAGTTAGAACTGTTAGAACAAAGTAGAAAATATACTTCAGATTAATGTAATAAAATTCTAGTTGTGTACATAGGCTGGAGTTAAACTGTACATTTGTTCTTTGAAATAATTTAGTAAAATGTACAGTATGATTAAAAATTAGTAAGCTAAGGATGTGAAAATACTTCTCATGAACATGATATTTCCATGTACGTGTACATTGTACAGTTGTAATGTACATATTAACTGCCTAGCTGAGATGTTTGTACTTGGTGAAGAGATTGTACAACACCCTGCAGTCAAAATACAATTATTTATAAAAAAAATATATGAACGCCAGAAAAGAAAAGAAACTTGTTTTTCTGTGGTACAACTGCAATAAAAAGAACCACCCCGCATTAAAAAAATCAGAGTTCCCCATTTTGTTGAAAACTTGTGTGCAGAGATGTTTATCAACAAGCTGAAATTCAGCGTTTTTGAGAAAAATTTATTTCCGGAAAAGTTAAATTCTTTTACTAGCTATCTTGAAGGTTTCGTTTGCCTACAAATTCATAAGCATGGTTAGTAAAAGTTTATAAATAAAATCTCTTCAGCGTTTTATAGTCGCATTTACTTATATAAGCTAATTCATTCCAGACTAACGATAACTAAATTGTTGAATAGAAATGTACCATTTATATGGAGTAAACCTCAGGAAAACCAAAACTTATACTTTTAGAGATTTAAAAAATGTAATATTAAACATAATAATTATATTCCTGAGAGTAGATTTCAGATCTAGGTTGACAATATCCTCAGGTCTTGCCTTAAACAATTAAAACATTTTTTATTTTTTCTTCCTTTTGCAGGTGAACATACAACAAGGTTAGAGAACCCCCTGTAAAACCATAGATTTCCTTCATTCAGAATTTGCTACTCCTTTAGAAGTCCTTTTGCATTTTTTTTTCAACGTTAATTTATCCAAACATTTTGATTTTTATAATCATAAATAGATCTTATCAATGTAAATATAAAGATTTGACATTTATATCTAAGAAAATGTCGAACAATGATATCCTTGAACTGCTTCTACCTTGGGTTGTGGCAGACCACCGTCCATCATGAGTTCAAAGGCCAGGGTAACATTGGCAACTTTCTCATCAAAGGACTAAAAGAAAAAATCAAGTAATCAGGATTTTAAAGCATGTTTACATCTGAATTGTTACACAAGATTAATACAAAATTATTTTTAGATACGGGTGTCACACGAAACATGACACTTGAGATATGAATTCCCCACTTTAACGTGTATCTTAACACAATAATCTTAAAATTCCCCCTAGTCCTGGAATTTACAAAAATGTGGTCTTTGTGTGGTGTAAATATTACCCGAGATATCAAGAATTTCATTAAAATTGTTATGTTGCGCGGAAGACCCTGAACTTTTTCTTTAAAAAAAAAATATTTTTTAAAAACCCAGTGAATCTGAATACCTGAGGAGTAAGGTGGAAGTCGTAAAGTGGAACAAAGTACCCCTCCAGTAGACCGGCGAGAAGACAAAGGTAAACACCGTCAGAAAACTGAGAGTCCAGATCAGTGACCTAGTGCATAATTTCATCAATTCGGTTCTATTCGATCTGATTTGAGAAATACTTTGAAACATTTATAATCTGTATTTTTAAACCACCACAAAACGAAATTTAGCAAACTTTCTCCTAACCAATATAATTGCTGACTGCTGAACTACCTGTCCGAAGAATTAGTTTAATAAGCTTTATGACAAAGAATAAGAATGATAATCAGAACAGGGAACCCAATCTGTTGCATGGATGAATATTGATTATTGATATTTGATATCTATTTCAAGGAATTATCACCTAACTAACCAGGGTTCGGATTTATCACATACTTAATGTTTGCATATCAAGCCAGAAAGTTTAAAATCAAATCAATTGTAAAAATGGAAACAATCCTATAAGTTGAAAAACATCGAATTCCGTAGACTTTAAAAATACATTTCCTTGTTATAATTATTTTTAAAAGACAATGAAATTGGGGCCAATGCTCCTATACACCAAAACTATCCATAAATAATGCCCCACATTATCCCAGGAGGAAACTTACAACTTAGCAATCTTCAAAGAACAGACCCATTGCTGGGCCGATCTTCTAATTTAAGAAATAATCGTGGAAGATCCCCAACTTGGTATACCCTGACTTCTATCGGACGTTAAGATGTTTTTATCCTATATTCAAGGTTTACCTCCAAATTGATCTTGTTGAGATGCTTGTTCACGAAGGTGATCAGGGACTTCTTCACAACCTAAGAATAAATAAATGTCAAAATAAATGCCAAAAAAAAGCAAAATGACAATAATTAATCTAAATGCGGTAAAAATAAATTTATGTGATTATAAGAAAAAACATATCTGAAGCGCAAAACTTTGATTCTGGCAAAGGGGCTGAAATTTTTTTTCAAAAAGTTAAAACCAATATTAATGATAGAAAAAAATATTAATTATGACTGCGCAATCAAAAGTTATTATTTGATTAGATGCTAAAAGCTTGTAAACAAATTAAATCATTTATAGAGTTAGCAGGGATCAATTTTTATACAAGTAAAATTCTCACCAGATCTAGAAAAGCTTTGGTTTAATATGGGCGTTCCTAACCTGAAGCTTGTCAGGGGCGTGGTCAAATAGAGTATCAAAAGCATCCCTTTCACATCGCATTCCTAATTTTCAAATTTTGAATAAATAATGACTTTATTGTCTTTTGAAATAAAAACCAGATAAAATATACAAAGCAGATATATTATTGCACGAAATTTTCCCAAGAGAAAGTTCAAGAACATAACATTCCGCCATAGCTCAGTAATGTGTGTCAAAAGGCGATAAAATATTAAATTAATCGTCAATAATAGAAATTAATCTATTTTCATAGTTTTTTTAAAATACACATCTTGTTAATTTGAAGTAAAATATAAACCTTAATAATTAAATACTTAAACAAGATTACCAATATCTTTATAGTGGGAGGTTAACTCTTCAGCGATCACTCTGAAAAATAGGTAAAAAAATCTTGAAAAATAGGTAAAAAAAATCTTGAAAAATAGGTAAAAATCTTGAAAAAAAAACATTTTTAAACAAACGATTTTTTCCTTTATGTTTATGTTAGGATTATTTTCAGGACTCCTGGCGGAGTATATAAGAAAATTTCCGATTGTTGTCATGATATTCATATGGTTGCATATATCACATTAATATACAGAGTATATTAATATTCAATAATTACAAATATCTAGTGAATCAAGATTAAAAATAAGGGACATTTATTTCTTTTTTTTATTTTTCGACATGTTTTTTTAATTTTTTTTCTTAGATTATTTTTTTTTCTTATTTGGCCTTTCTGTTTTCTTTTAAAGTAATCTTTTTTCGGCTCTTTTGGTCCCAACAAAAGAAACTAGATTAGAAATTTTTTACACATTTATCAAATTATCATATTATCCTAAACTGACCTGTGAGTTAGAACTCCCTCCTTCTTGGTGACGATTACAACATCAACAACAACATTCTCCGGTAATCTTATCGGGGCCCTGAGAAGAAAACGAGTTTTTAAAAGTAAGGAATAGATCTAAGCATGTCGATTAAACTTGAAGCCATGTAACACTCAAACAATAACATTTTAGGTTTATAAAAAAACAATATTACTTCAGACCTTAAAATAAAAACAAATAAAATAAAATAGAAAATTAAGCTTATGTAAAAAAATAAAACTATATTCTTAGTGTGAACACTTTCAACACTCCACCTTCAATAAATTTATTTTTAAATCGAGAAAATTCAAGTTTTTATTAAAGTTTTTAAAATCTATATAATTTACCGTGCTTGTCCCTTTTGCAGGCCAAGAACGCGGTTTGCAACTCCAAGAACAATCCTTAAAAAATATTTTTTTAGGTTTATTCACCAAGTTATATATTTGGAGAAAATAGTTGATTTTTATGGGGAATTAAATGAATTTTTAGGGAATAAGTGCTGTTTGTCAAAGGTAAAACGGTTGGACTAATATTTCAATTCATCAAACCCCCCCCCCCCCCCCGCGAAACTTATTTTTCGTAAATCAGTCTGTATAAAAGCTCTATCAAAACTAAAAACCATGAATCATGATTAGTTTAAATAATCCCTACCTGAGCTTATTCTTCTGCCCCTCCTCAGACTGTGTGACCTCAGGAACACTTAGCAGCTGCTGGGTCAACTTCTCTAGAAGCTTCTGCAGAATCTAATAAGAAAACAGCTGGATTATATCAAGTAAATTTAGCAGCTGCTGGGTCAACTTCTTTAGATGCTTCTGCAGAATCTAATAAAAAACCTGGATTATCTCACCGTGCTTATGTAAAGTGTACAGTCTGCATTGTACACTGTACAGCTAAGGTAGAAGTGTGGAATGAATAGATGCTAATTGTATTCTTTGTATTATTTAGAACGATGTTTTATAAACCGTTGTAAATCCAATGCTTGTTTTATGTTTTCATGATGACGTATTCACTATTTAGTAGTTTGTACTATGTTTCTGTGCATTTTACCACGGTTTGTGTTCTATTTACCACGGTTTGTGTTCTTTTTTACCACGGTTTGTGTTCTTTTTACCACGGTTTGTGTTCTTTTTTACCACGGTTTGTGTTCTTTTTACTACGGTTTGTGTTATTTTTACTACAGTTTCTGTTCTTTTTCTCAAAGTTTGTGTTCTTTTTACTACGGTTTGTGATCTTTTCACTACAGTTTGTGTAATTTTTTACCACGGTTTGTGTTCTTTTTACTACAGTTTGTGTTCTTTTTAATACGGTGTCTATTCTTTTTATTACGTTAATTTACTAGGTTATGTAATGTTGTCGTTAAGTTGTGCTATGTTGAATAAACGGCAAACATGTTAAGTGTGTATGTACATTGTACAATGTACATGTATGTGTTTAGTGTGTATGTACACGTAAGTGTTTATTGAGTATGTACGTGCTTAGTGTGTATGTACGTGTTTAGTGTGGTTGTACCTGCCCATCGTACAAGTCCTCCTCTATATCCTGACAAAATAAGATGGATTAAACGTTTATTGCATTTTAATTCATTTTAAAGTAATCTGGAAGATTCTACGAATAAAATATGTAAAAATCGAATGATCATTAAATTCATCAGCAAATAATAAAGAAAAAACAACTATTTCTAGGTTTCACTATTTTCTTGTTTTGAAAAATTGCCCTGAACTAGTATTTTTAGAAATAGGAAGAATTTGATTATCAAAAAAAATCCAATTTCTCCAAATCCATCTATTTTCCTGGATAATTATTCTATCCTCCACCAGCTCGTCATTTATCCATTCAATGATTATTCTAAACATATTTTCACGTTTTAAAAATTTATTTATTTACATTAAACAATTACTTACTTGATCAACTCCTTCAGCTTTGGGTTCTCATAAGACTGAAAATAAAAAAGAGCTGTTAAAAAATGATTGTTGAAAGTTGTAAGTTGAAATTTGTTTTGAACTTCGGTTTTCAAGCCTGTTCAATTGATACCCAAATTATTAGGATTGTCAAATTTTTCATTGTCACTAACACTACTGATTTTTTTCTTTCTCCTAGTTTTTCTGAGGTTTGGGAGGGCGGGATATAAAGTTTGTATAAATTACCCTCGGTTCAATCATCGACCTCTCCTCGTTCTCCTCTAGAAGATATTCCTCAGGAGGTACCTCGGAGCTCTTGGGCATACCTAGAAACCGTAATTGAAGTTTTGTTTCATTGGCTTGGGGACCGAATTTTATGAATTATGAGCTAAGTTGCTGAACTAACTACTACCTGTTCAAATTTGAACCCCTGATTATAAATTAAAGATTAAGGAAGGATTTGAATCGGTGATTTAAATTTGAACCGGTGGTAGCCCGTTCTAATTCACTAAATTCGGTACCGGACACTATGAGGTTGGTAAACTCAGTTTTTTACTCAAAAGCTATTAAATAATTTTAGCTAGGGTTTAAAGATTCTTAGTTGAATGGGTTGACTTTCTTGGCGTACGTTTAATTTACTGGCCAAGCTGGGTTCCTAAGCTATTTTCTTTTAAACTACTGTATACTTCTGCCATAAAATTGATTAACCTGGAGAATCTATTGCATATTTTCCCTCGCTCTCAACCTCCTTCGCCTCTACAACCTAGGTTAATAAATAATAATAAGTATTGAGGGATAAGAAATTAATCAATAACATAGGCATATTCAGGGGGGGCGATTTTTTACTACGTGTTAGTTCTAATAATAAGATAAAAAGTAGTTTAAAGAATGAGTGGAATTAAGACCATCACTTAGCTAAAAATTAATTTTCGAAGAACAAATGTACAATTTTCGTAGTTTAAAATATGTATTATTATAACTTCATCAAAATAATTTATCAATAAAAAGTGTAATAACAATTCCTTTGTGTTGTGAACAATGGCGAAAAATTCAAACTTTGTACTAGACGCAAATATTTAGCTTCTTTGACGTAGAAATCCACGAGTTTCTGTCTAAGATATGCAATTAGTCATTAAAATAAAAAATTCAAAGAAGAATATTATAACTTACTTTCTTCTTCCGACCCAGAGTACCAATTTTCTCCCAAAACGATGATTCCTCTTCTCTGCCGCCCTCAGGGGCAGGAGACTCCCTGGCCCGCCTACTAGGGGCGGGGCTAGGGGCACCCCTGATAGGAGTTCGAGATCTTGCCAAAGACATTTTCAGATCTGTTCAAAATCGATTTCTTTCAACTAAACTTAATTTTTTTTCTATATTTTAATATCCAAATAAAGAAATTTTAAGGACGTTAAGTGTACCTATGAGTAAAAACTAATGAAGATATTAATTCGAATTAACAGGATTAAACGAAAAATTTATTTTGAAAAATGAGCAAGTATAATAACAGATAAAATTCCTTTATATTCCTTTAAAGTTTCACTAATACTTATTTATAAACTTCTACAAATTCTTTTTGATTTTGAAGTTCACTATTTACTATTTACGCGCTAAGTTCGTAAGGATTTATCGAAATAAATTCTTAAACAAAGACAGATGTGTTACTGCGTATTTATTTTTGTTAAATCAGCTGTTGTATGTCTATGATAGATAGATAGAATGGAAAGGAAGGGAGAGGTTGCGAGAATATTTGCATTTAAACTATTATTTTTTAAACTTTCATAGAAAATATTTCAGAGGCGTATTCAGGGGGGGGGGGCGGAAAGCTAAGCCCCCTGGACCAGTGAAATATTTTGATTTCAGGGGATTTTCAGGCCTCAACGTGTGCTGATTCCCCCCCCCCTGGAAATTGATAATCAAATGTAAGTCCCCCCCTGTATACAATTTCTTAAATATACGCGTCCCCTGAAAGAACAGAACCCTTTGAAAAGCTAGTTTTTAATTCTAAAATTGTTGTGAAATATTTTTTTTATTTTTCGAAAGGAAAAGAGATTCACATTTAGCACAGACGACAATAATTTCCATCTTTTTATAAATGTCCTTGAAATTATTGTGTCATAAATCCAACTTGCATCATCATCCCAAATCATTTTTATTCTTAATTTCCAAAAATTTACCAAATCAGGATCGATCATTTCTGCATGATTGATCATGCATTCCATATATTCTTTAATTACGAATACGATGAAGTCTAGATTTTACCGAGATAAAATACTTGTTGCCCCTGAATCCAGTATACTTTGATTGATACAGGGCTTTTGTGTACAAAGTACAAATGTACTCCGTTCAAATTTGTCGTATCACAAACAAAACCGGTTCTCACTGTGATGCATGCACACGGCTGCGATTGTAAAACGAAGTTTAATTTCTATAGGGCCTCAGAGCTGCAATCACATTTTTGTTTTAGAGCGCGTTCGCGTATATCATTTAACCCAGATACCAGTGTTTTTAGTTAACTTTTTTTCTTTTCTATTATATGTGACTTTCCAGAATGAAACTCTTTTAAAGACTTAGAAAAAGACTATCTTCCATTTTATTGACCAGATAAAAGTTTCAATTGGGTGCCGTTGTGTGAATCGGAAATTTTCTAGAGAACGAATTTTGGAACCCGCCCCCTCCTATCAAATTTGTTCACGGATCTCATGTGTAACACATGGATATAATTGACCATGTGGCCACAGCGCCCGGCCCCCTATTATGTCCTAGCCGGGGCGCTCGAACCCCTAGTTTGTCCTAGTCGAAGCGTTCGGACCCCTAGCCGCAGCGCTCTGCCCATAAATTGTGCTAATCCAACGTAACTCTGCATTAATACAAAATAAATAATGAGGGACTGTCCTAGTATACGATTTTTGGACCCCCCCCAGGCCCCCCCCCCC